TTCACTCGCGCGACGTTAGTTCGTTTCCCCGTAAGCACTCGCGTTAACGTGCCGCAATCTTGCGTTCATACCACGTTCGTTTGTCCTCAAGGCGATACGCAAGCAGCCTTAGTTTTTACATTCTAAAACATCCCGGGTACTCATCGTCATAGCTGTACCATTTAAACGAAATAGCCATCCTGCGCGCGCTTTTTTGCGTAACAAAGTAGCTCTTGCCGTGCGGGATATATGAACGACATGCGAAATCGGTTCGGCGGCCACTGTAAGGTCGTGCAGCCGTCACCACGACGACAGTTTTGTTTTGCCACTTAGGCAGGCTGCATTAGGCCGAACGCGTACGTGGTTATCGTGTTTAACATGGCTGCCTGACTTGATATGACGCGCGCCCCCTTTTTATGTTCTGCGCTTGCGCCGCGCGCGTATACAGTTTTGTTCTTGCGAGTTGCGCGGCTATGCGATGTTTCGCCGCTCCCCCATCTTGGCTCTCCGAGGCGCTTCCTTTGATGACCGTTAGCTGCGGTATTCCGCGACGCGCGTCCAACTTCTTGGATCAAAAAAACAGCGACACAACAGACCCAAGGAAATGAAGAAGGAAACTGAGGGAAAAAGGACGAAGGCGAAATAGAAGGGAAAACAAACAAAAAAAAGATGTTCGAGCCTCTCTGCGGCGAAGCGAAGTGCTTGTTTGCGCTGGTCGTGGGTTGTTGGCCTGGCGCTGTAGATTGCGCGCGCGCGCGCCTGAACTCGTTGAGAAATGGTTCCTTGGAGTCACGCGTAATTCGGGCGCTATTAATAACCTGTGTATACGCGCGGCTGCCCGTGTACGGATGCCCCCGTCTCGTCTCGTTTCTTCTTTTTTTCTTCAGTTTACTGCCTTTTTTCGAGGTTTTTTTTTGTTTTCTTTATGGCCGCTTTTTTTTTTTCTCTCGACGCAGCCGCTGGAACCTCGCGGCGCCGAGATCTTTCTCTTCCGCCGCGAGGTGCTTGTTTTGCTCCCTTCATTGTCTCGAGAGTGATTGAAACGATCACGATTGTTCTTGTTTCGTTCGAGATAGGAACGAAAAGAAAGTAGTGGTGGGATTTTTAGGGCCTCCCTTTCTTCGTTGTTCAAACAGGACTTGTATGTCTTCTTTTGTTTGTTTCTCCTCCTACTCTTAAAGAGGTTGAGAAGGGAGAGGGTAGCTTTTTGTTTTTCTCTCCATACTGTCGTTGTCTGTATACGCCACAAGCTTTTATCGCGCGTTCAAGTCTTTGTTAGTCGTGAAGGCTGTTCACCGCGTCTGATAAGTTGTCCTTTGATGCGTGTTGGGCTTCTCGCGGAAGTCATTGGTTCGTAACTCTCACGGTGAATAATTTTTTTTTTTGAAACGTTTGGCGAAGAAGAAAGAAGGGGATTGGGGGGGGTGGGGAAAAGGGGGTTAAACATTTCAGCAGTCGTCATTTATCGCTCAAAGTGGCTCGTTTCGTGGATTCTCATCTTCGATGTCATTGTGAGACCACCGCAAAGTTAATCACGAGCCCCGTATACAAATGCGTCGGTGTTCCTCTTCGCTTCGCTATAACGCGAGTGATATGCCAGTGCTAGATGCGATATTATATAGTTAATAAATATGCAAACTCGCCGTGCTGCGTGAAGTGATTAGTTTTGCTGCGTTATTATAAAGACGAATAAATGGCGGGCGGCCTGGTGAGGTGTTTATTGTTGCGGACCGAGCGTGCTCAAGGAATGAGGGGACCTTCGCGTTACGCAAGGTGTATCCACTGAGTTATAGCAAAATAAAAAGGCCACAACTTCACTTTCGAAATGCGTTTCCCCACTCCGGTTCGCCATGCCGATTTGATTTTGTGGGGATTTCAACAAAGTATTGCGAAACGCTTGCGGTGCGAAATCTTTTGTGTGTGTGTGTGCGTGTGTGTGTGTGTGTGTGTGTGTGTGTGTGTGTGTGAGAGAGAGAGAGAGAGAGAGACTGACTGACGTAATACCGGATAAACTGGATACCCCTGGAAGTCGTTCGCCATGCAGTAGACATCAAGGGCTGGCGATGAGGTTGTGACCGTGAAATGTTTCGGTAGGAGGCTTTCTACAGTCTCTCTGTCGCGCTTACCTTTGAAATGGGAAAGTACCTTACAGGGTGCGTACAGGTCTTGGAAACCCTTGAAAATCCTTAAAATAGAAAAGTCCGTTTTCAAGGCCCTTGAAAGTCTTCGAATCGTATTTCCTTGAAAGCGCTTGCATTTATTGGCATCTGGTGTATTATTTTGTGTGTGGGAGCTGTTGTCTGTGTAGGTGAGGCCAACTCCGACGGCACGTGTGCTCAGCAATGACCCCTTTCCCGTGTTTAACCTGTCTGGATCACACTCAGCCCTACCATTAATTCAATTTCCTCGCCTGTCGATCCACTTCCTCTAAACTCTTGCTGGTGACTTTACTCCAACTCCAGTATTCTCTTCCCTCTCTATATAACTCTGTTAGTGAGCAGCGCGCGGAGTGTGAAACAGTACTTATTCAAACTCGAATAGTATCCGCTGTATGAATGCTTAGAGCCAAAGTTTTTTTTCTTCTTTCTTTTAAAAGAACGAAAGAGTGCTGTGTGCCAGCCAGATGCGAAAATATGAGAAGCGCCGCTGGTGTTCAGTCATTGGCTCTCATGCATCGGTTCTTTTGTTGCACTTTCGTCCACACAAAGACACTGACTGTATACATACGTGGTGTATATTCGCTGATTCGCATGGCGCACTGGAGTGAAACCAATTGAAATTTGATTCAATACATAATAAATCTCAAAAGCAGGAAAATTTAGTGACTCCAGGCAGTCAAATTTATTCAATGATCAATTTCTGAATGCGAGGGGCAAAAGTTTTGGAATAGTCACTCGCGTTTTCCTGCTTCAGCACTGGAGTACAGTCAAAACTCGATATAACGAAACAATTTTTGCGAAGTTGCCTATCTAACGAAGACATTTCCAGTATTCAGCAAGTATCCACAGGGTTCACTGTTTTCATCAACCTGAATTAGCGAACAAATGTCGCCATCAAACTCGATCTAACGCAGTTCTTGAAATAACCGAGTTAACAGGGCAGCGATTTCTTTCTTGTTTTGTCACTGGTACATTTTTTTTAGATTGAGAATGAGCGCTATGAATTTGACCAGAATTCGGGGACATTTTCAACTAGTGCCATTTCGCGTCGGTGACACCGTCGGCCTGCCGTAGCTCAATGGGAAATAGGCTAAAAAAAAAAAAATCGTATCTGGCGAAAAAAGCGAGTTATCAAAAACGCCTCTTAGTTATATATAGCAGAGACTTAATTAAACATTCTGTCGAAATTACAGGGTCTCACTACAAACCGCGTGGTTCCCAGATTGTTTAATATATTAAAATGGGCTCCATGTGTTTCTAATGAGCCCAATGTGTTTTTAATGGGCTGTGTTCGATTGCCCTGTGAAGTCGCACGTTTTCTGGTGTGATACTGAAATTTCACCAAAGTGTTCCAGTATAGTCCTCCCGGACTTGTTTTTGATTACTAGCTTACTTCAAAAAAGTATGATTCTTATTTTGCCTATTTTCCATTCAGTAGTGGCAGGACGCCGTCGCTGCTGCCGGAAGATGGCGCCACGTATAGATTACCCCAAATTCTGGAAATACTATCGCGTTGAAACAACTAATCCCCTAGTTACGGCTCCAGCTCTACTTTGACTAGGCTGCAGGCCGCACTTATGCGCAGAATAACGGATTCGAGTGTTGCTAGCGCTGTTTCATATCGGATGGTGCTAGAGGTGGTTTCTTTTTTTTTTTGTCTCACTCGACACAAAGCATATATCAGCTCCTTGCTAATTTCTCGTTCGGCCTGCTCACACAACCACTCCGTTCGTTTTCCGAGTCATCGCATATCTCTCGACTATCACAATTTTACGTGGCCGTCGTCTACCTAGCCTTCATCGCCAGGATATGGTTAGGATATGGTGTCTCCTCCTACGTCACAGGCCGTCCGCTGATAGTGCTCGGGGACTTTTCGGGCACGCAGGGGCAGTGGTGCATTCAAGGGGTGCTACACAGAGTTGGTGCCCCCCCCCCCTTCCCTCCTCCCCCGATTTTTTTTTTTTTTTTGCCGTGGCATTCAAAGCAAAAAATGACCATTTCAAGGGGTTCCTACTCTCCGAAATCTAGAAGGTGCCCCCCCCCCCCTTCTCCCGAAAAAAAAAAATTTCTCGCTGCGCAGGGGTAGGTTACGGTGAATATATATATATATATATATATATATATATATATATATATATATATATTGTAACGAGGAGAAATAAGACAAAGAGACAACGCCTTTGCTGCAGGCCGGCTGTTCTTTATCTGCCTCCTCTTCCTCGTCAATATATATATATTACATATAATATATATATATATTACAATATATATATATATATATATATATATATATATATATTATGGTATGAATATGTTAAATTTTATTTCGAAATGCTGAAACACACCGTCCTCGATTTTATGAAATTCCCCATCCAACGAAACAACTCCAGGGTAATCATTGCTTCGTTAAACCGAGTTTTAACTGCGTTTGCAAAAAGTGGAAACGTCATTCGTACATCTGTGAAACTGAAGAGTTGCTCAAATACTAAAGAAAAAAGTGAAACAGGACTACTGGAAATGATCTAATACAAGAGATCACCGAGCGTCTGCATACATAATGCTGTGAAGTTTTGTGCTCGTGAGGAACATGTGTTTTGCGATCAAGACGGGACATTTCGAACAACATTTTGTTGTATTCTGAATGTGTAAATCTGCCCGTATTGTTTTGGAAACACAGCAAAACATTTTTACTTGTTGTGCTGCTTCGCGTCCTTGTAGGGTTGTTTGAGTCCTTCGATAGGGACTCGATAGCCCTTCAGCATCCTCTAGTTTGGGCTATCGAAACCTGCACGGACTCTGTGTACTTAGGTGTTCACAGCTCTCATGTTGCGCCGGCCGCGCTGCCTTTTCCTGTCTTTACAGCTATGGCCCCCCCGCAGAGCAGCGCCAACGCCCCCGGACTGAGCACGCCGGCCAGCAAAATGTAAGTCCCGTGATCACACACGGCTCTTTGCGCCGCTCTTTCCGCACGTGCTGCCGAACTTCTTGAGCCGTGCGTAGCGTTCGATTCGACTGCACAATGCCCGAGTATGTTCAAGATTGATTGATTGATTGATTGATTGATTGATATGTGGGGTTTAACGTCCCAAAACCACTATATGATTATGAGAGACGCCGTAGTGGAGGGCTCGGGAAATTTAGACCACCTGGGGTTCTTTAACGTGCACCCAAATCTGAGCACACGGGCCTGCAACATTTCCGCCCCCATCGGAAATGCAGCCGCCGCAGCCGGGATTCGAACCCGCGCCCTGCGGGTCAGCAGCCGAGTACCTTAGCCACTAGACCACCGCGGTGGGGCGAGTATGTTCAAGAGGCACTACTGAACTCGTTCTTCGTTTACACAAGTGTTTGACGTGTACTCGCTTTTTTTTCTTTTTTCAACGGTGGCGTGTCTAAAAAACTGCCCATATATCGGGAACGTCCAGTAGTCGATTTTTTTTTCTTTTCTTTCTCTTGTTACCCGTTAGCGTACGTAATACTTCCAAGTGCCTCTTTTTATTTCTTTTTCTTCAATTACACCAAAAAAAGGTATGCAGAGGCTAAAGGTATAACAATCCCGGACAGAGACCTCTATACCCGTTTCACGAAGATGCGGTCGTTCAACTTCGCGAAATTGACGGCGTATATTTTCCGAAATGGTCTAATAGCCAAAAAACGGTGAGACCCTGAATACGTGCCTTGAGGCAACAGCGTCTTTTTGCATGTGGCGGGAAATCTCATTTTAAATCTGGGAAAGCGTGCCTGTTATTGGAGTGAACAAATGATCTGTCGCGTATTGCAGGGTCACTCAGTTACGCATGTCGATAGCGACTTTCACCGGCCTATAGCAGTGTAGCAGTGAGACAAATTTTCCTGCATTTGTACTTCGTGGCAGGGTTGCCAACTGTAGGGTTATTACCCCATAGAGTTTCCCAATATACACTAGAGGGAACTCTGGCGCTAGTGTCTATGGGAGCTGCAATGCACGGCGCTTCAGCGAGCATGGGAATGATGGGTAGCACACACATTTGTCTAAACTTCGTACTTCTGGCCTGCTTTTGGATCCGTGTGTGTTCGTGTGGCTTGAAGCTGTTTTCTCACGAAAAAAAAATCAGCAAATGTTCAGTGATTGCGCTTCACTACCCTATTTTTTAAATTACCTTTTCTAAATTGGGTCACGAAGTTCAAAAGGGTTAAATCTTTTTTTCAAAACGAAATCGAAACACAACAATAAACGAGGCCACAAATACGATTCGCCGCCCGCAAGTACGAAGACTAGGCAAATGTGTGTACTACCCATCATTCCCATGGTCGCTGAACGATCGCAGCGCCAGAGTGCCCTCTAGTTAATTTTTAGAAACTCTATGTATTACCCTACTTGTTGGGCCGATCTCGGAGGCACCCCTCCGCATGTGTCTGAACGTCGTATTAGTGTACGTTATGTTTACGTTATGATTGTTACACAGCGCTATTCCTAGGCGTAGGGTAAGATGGGAAGTAGTAAACAAAGATGTGTCTGGTAAAGTAGCCTAATTATGACCTTAACGTATGGTATTTTTTTTAAATTCGTTGGCAACCCTGCTTCATGGTTGGACGAGTCGTCACGCTGTGTGTCGACGCGAGTTGTGTTTGTCTCAAATCGCCGCTCCTACTGATATAGTAGAGGTCACTGTATAGCCAATTACCTATCGTTAAAGAAGGAATTACACGTTGCATTCTAATCGAAGCCGACGTCCTAGCGTGGAAAGTTTTACGAATATTACATGTGGTAAAGGTGCCCGATTGAATAAATTAGTGGTACCGGCGATCCAGTGTTCTGTAATGGATCTCATGAAATGTAAATTTGGCGTTAATTTACTCCCATTATATACTAGTCGGTCGTTTTCTGCGAAGTTATAGATGAGAACAATTAAGACTTTGAACGAATGATTGATCAATCAGCGCTCCAATGGCGTGGTTGCGACGCTGTCGATTGTGGCGCAGTATATGACGCGTCATGATCAATGGCTTGTCTTGTGCTGTGCCGAAGCGCGCGTTAATCCGAGCGTGCGCTATACAAGGGAGCTTTCGAAAGCTGTTTGTTTGAAAGTGTTAATTTGAAAATAGGGTGACGTCTGTTATGCGAGACACGGTGTTAGTGTTTTAGTTGTTTCATCGTGCATATTAGTTAAGGTGATGCTGAATACCTCTTCGTCTCTGTGGACTAATAACAAAACGCTATAGGGCCCTAGCTAAACCATCAACAGACTCGTGCTCGCGTGCTGCTCTGCTATATCAGGTGCATGCGCGCGTTGCGTTTTTCATCACGGACGCTGAGCAAGGGAATTCGGAGAGATGGACGGACGAGCCGAAAGCTGTGGACTCCACAGGTGCAGCGTCGCAACTAAATTTCGACCTCTGAGAGGCTTGGGAGCCCTTAAACAATTGAAAGGAAACGGCATATATTTCTTTACAATCAAGCTTACAGCGTAGAGCTCAGTATTCGTTTCAGTCAAAGAAAACAACAAAACAAGCTTCAAAACCTCTCGATGGATGATTAGACGCCTGTGAACGATTGCAACACCCGCCCCCCCCCCCCCCCCACGCGTTCCCAGTAAATATTATGTTGCAGCTGTTTTGCCCGTCACACGAGGGCTCCGAATGACGACATACGACCCGTGCGTGTTTCCCGCTTTCATGTATGAAAGGTACACCTGTCTAAAAACCCATTGCTATGGGTAGACCACCGAAATTAAAGACACTGTAAAAGTAGCATGCATGCATATGCTCGACCGAGTAAGAAATTCGCCTTGCTGAAAATGGTCGCTGAGCCACTCACGCTCTACCAAAGCTACCACAAAGCGGTTAACACTAGCACTCCTCTGAAGTATTCGTAAAACGTACCCATCCTCACCTCCCATCAGCAATATATAGCTTCGCCGGACATTCGTTTTCGCAATGAGGGACGACGGCCATTTTCTTTGTGGATACCGTTCGCGGTGTGTTTCTGAGAGCGACCTTACTAGTATATAGCCGTAAACGTTAGAAGCACGGTGTTGTACCTGTTGGCTCATTCGTGTTTGAGCAAGTTACGAACCGATCGTTTGTATAACTCGCAGTTTCGTTAAGCCGCGCACGACTCTTTTAATTCAACATGACGAGAAAAACGGTATAGTTAATATGAATATCGTATTTATACTACATGCCACTACACGCAATTATAGACCACGCGTAGGAAGAGGTATCTTTTACTAACTTATCTGCGAAATCTATAGAGTAGATGGAGAGGGGGAGGGAGAGGAGAAAGGGCATCGCTCTCTGGATTTCGGGCCGACTGGCTGTGCCCCCGCGACCCCCGGCGACAGCGCAGCTCTGGCCGACTGGCTCGCCCTACGCCATCTCCTGCCGCCGACAAGAGCTCTCGCCGAATGGCGCCCCGTCCTCGGACTCCTGAGACCGTGTCCATCTTTCCTATTTCCTCTTTACTTCCGTCGTTTTCTGTCGTTCGCTGTCCCTGCGCCTCGCTCTCTCCTTCCTCTATCTATTTACCTTTTAATCCTATCTTTTTTAATTCCTCCTTACCCCCACCCCTCGTGAGCTACTGTTGAGGTGTCGCACTCTGATGCAGACAGTTCCGGGGATCAGTTTTCTCGTCTTTTCTCTTTAGGAATCACATAAGAGAGGAGAAAGGAAATGCAGTAAGGTTAGGTAGACTTCATCCAGTTAGTTATCCTGTATACACCTGCAGTATGCAGGTGTATATTGTATACACATATATACTAAGCAGTTACTATAATCTATAGTAAATGCCAGGCAGCACTTACTAAGCCGGAATTTTCGAGCGCATAATTAACTGCTTGAAGAGAGGAATGACAGTCCGCCGTTGTTAGTAACTGCACCCGTTGCTACAGTTTTGCTTTTTTTTTCCTAATAGTTTCCGTGCATTACTCGATCTGTGTGTTCCTACTTCCGTGCAGACTCAGTGCATGAAGGCATGAAAGGAAACTTATTAAAAAATGTTGTTGGGCAATCGTACTGCGAAACATGTATAACGAAATGATTCCGTGGCTCTTATGTAGCTTAAACCTGCCGTCGAGGATAGGTACCTGAGCGCGCTTATCAACTGCTCAGCATGCATGTGTGTACTGATGTTATTTACTCGTTGTACACGGTATAGCTTTACTAGACTGGTAAGTGGGTGTGCGTGCAAACGAACAAAAACGCAGAAACCGCGGCGGTTGACTGTTGAACAGCAGCAACAAAATACATATCCAGCTTTGTTTGAAAACGGCCACGAACAGTTTTTTTTTTCCTCGGACCGTGACCACGAAAAGATCGTGTAGCATTCTCATCTCCAGCGGCTGCTGCACGGAATTCGGCTCTGCAGGCGTTTTGGAAGCGTATCGCGCCGCGCTGGTGTCACATCCGCTCGGGCTTTTTCGGGCGTGCTAGCCGCAGGCTCGGTGGCTAACCTCCGCTATATAGCCGCCACCGTTCTTTTCCGTTGGCCTTTCGTCATTTGTGAGGAGCTCAGGCGCCTTGCACAGGGCTTGAGCCTTTTTCCCCCTCTCCTTCCTTCTTATCCCGGCCGGCTTTTCGCCGACCGCCCTCCCGTGTGCCGAGCCCGGGAGGAAATTTCTTCCCCTCGGGTGCGTTTAATTTCTCAGGCCGGTGGTCGCGCAGATTGAGGCTGCCGCTTCGTCGGCTCCGGTTTTTTCCGATTGGTCAGCGTCGTCGCCTTTTCTCGTGCAGGGCGCGTTCGGGAGTCTCCGCAGAAAGCTCTCGCGGTGTGTCTCCGAGCCTAGCGGCGGTGTGCAGGTTTAACGCCTCCCTGGTCGCGGTTAGGGCTTTGCCTCAAATTTTGTTTCCCTACCCGCCTGAATAAGTGCGGCCCCGTAGAGAGAGAGTTTTCAGAAACCGTGTCCCTCATTTCTCTTTCGTTCAACTCTCTTTTGTCTTTTTTTT